AACAGTAAATCCAAGCCACAATAGCTTATTCAGTAAAATATTGTGATCAATGTAGCCAAAGGCTACACAATAATTCACTACTCAATATATCACTCTGCAACCAAGTTTATGTGATTCCAATAATATCCTGCTCAGCCTCAGTAATATTATAAAGAATATACACACTAATACGGGAAAAAATTAAGGAAACAAAAATATTTAATACATTTTTTAATGATATTTGAAAGGTTGTATTTCCAGTAAAAATCTCTAATTTCTAGATTTTTTGACATTTTTTTTTGAGGAAATAAAAAAATACATGGAGAAAAATTTTAATTTTTTTTTTTGGACTGTCCACGGATTCAGGAAATTTTCTTCGAATATCTTAAAACCATTTACCCAATTTTGTTGTAATTTGGCAGTGTTATTTGTAGTGTTAAGAAGCTAATTTAACCCTAACTTGATTTCGTATCTTGATTAATTTTTGTAGAAAAAAAAAATAAAATCCACTTAATCGCATATCCCTAGACCACACAAACCACCACATGGGGAAAAGTTTCGTTAGGGAATTATAATTTTTTTATAATTTTTTATTAATAATATGTAACATCTAAATAACATAAAGTACAAATAACACTGCCAAATTACAACAAAATTGGGTAAAAAATATTTAAGATATTTACGAAATAACAATTTTTTATAAAAGTTTAACACCCTGTATATTGAAAACGAAGCATCTGCGGACCAATGTTTATATGAATTTTTTGTCTTAAAATCACTCAAATAATCGTCTGTTAAATTTATTGTATATACTTAATTAACACCCTGTATATATAGAACTTCACTTATATTACCGATACCAGATGGCTGCGCCAATGGACGCCCTCAACATAGACCTCAATTTGCTGCTGGATCTTACATAATAACACCGAAGCCGTGCACACTTCAGTACTTTCTTTTTATATCATCGAGTAGCGACCTTGTCTTTCATTTCTGCCGTTTCCAAGGTTGTTTAGACGAAATGCTCACGACGGGTTAGTAGGTCAACTGATTTACCCGTACAGAGGCCGCGGTGACTGACGAATTACTTAATAAAAATACATCTCGTCACGTTACCGTATGCGGTTAGTTTTGAAATTGTCATATGATCCGAGAAATACTAAATGAACCCTTTTTATATACGAATTTTTGCTTCTGCTAACTGAAATACAGAAGCATATGGAATAATCAGTACAAAAAGATTTTTATAGGTATTTAATTAATTTAAATTATGTCATTCTAAAAAGTTTATACAGTGCATCCCACTTTTAATGTATAAATTCAATAAAACTTGAAGAGTAAGTTTAATTTTTTTAAATGCCAACCCCAATTTTTCTTCTCAGATTCTTTTCTGACATTATGGAATAAGTTGTGACATGAGTGACAATTTTTTTAAATGGCAACCCCAACTTTTCTGTTCAGATTCTGAGAGGGTAATTTTTTGAGTATAAAATAAAAAATGATAGGGCCACATAAGAAATCGTTTTCATAAATTCCATTTTTTGTGTAATTTTTTTCTGATGTTTGCATGTTTGTTTTTTTTAGTTCTTATCCTTTCGTTAGTAGTCTTCTTACTTTAAACTGTTCAAAGTGGTTTTTAAAAATGGCAAAGTTATCTGAACAAGAAAAAATTAAAATACTCTGCATGACTGGGTTTGGTAACAGAACGCGCACTCAAACAGAAACAGCTTAGTTATTTAATGCAATCCATCCTAATCGTCCTCCCATTTCTCAGACGGTAGTCAGTAGAATTGAACCAAAATTTAGAGAATTTGGTCATGTTAGAGACTTGCCTGGTCGAAGAGAAGAAAATAACCAACTCGTAGTTTTACTTCCCGTGAAAGAAAATCCACATATTTCCATGTCACTAATTGCTGCTAATTTACACTTGTTGAAATCTGCTGTTCATAGTTCCAATACTTCAAAGGTACAAATATCATTCATACAAAGTTATTAAAGTACAAAAATTTTCTGAAGACGATTTCGATAGATGAAACGAATTTTGTGAACACATGCAAAATTTGTGTACCTAGTCGAAATATTAGTTCAGTGAAGAACATTATTGTTTCCGATGAAGCTACATTTTTCTCTACATGTAGGTATTGTTAACATGCAAAATTGTCGGTACTAGACAATAGATAACCCGCACTGGATGATGGAAGCTCATAGTCAATACCCAAAGAAATTAATTGTGTGATGTGGAATAGAAAGAGTAATAGGCCTATATTTTTATAGGGAGTTTTTAAATGGACAAAGATATCTTCTCCAATTTGAATTGATTCCCGCATTAGTGATTTTATTTAACGAAGAGCTTGTTTTCCAACAAGATGGTGCTCTGCCGCAGTATGCTGCCCCTTTGCGTGCATTTCTAAATGAAACGTTTTCCAATCGATGGGAGGAATCGATAGGAAAAAGAGGAGCTATGGAATGGCCTGCACGGTCGCCAGACCTAACCCCGTCAGGTTATTTTTTGTGGGGTTACTTAAAATCAAGTTTATGCTGACAGACCAGATAATGTGGAAGCGTTAAAAGAGAAGATCCGAAGTGAACCCCCGAAATGGCTGAAAACGGGCAAATAGAGTTTATCGATCACCTTTGATATTGTCAAGCAGAGAATAGAGTATATTTTGAACATTTAATTTAAAGGATGTTAATTGTTTGAATTAAAAGTTATTTATTTATCGTTCTCAATAAATTTCTTATGTAACCAAATCATTTTTTAGTGTTCTTTACTCAAAAAATTACCCTTTTTCAGAATCTGAAGAGAAAAGTTTGGGTTGTCATTTAAAAAAATCACTGACGTCACAACTTCATCAACGTCAGAAATGATCCGAAAACCATTTTAAAACATGGAATTTAATTAAAATCTTTCGACGTGTCTCGGCGATTTTGTGAAAAATATATTCTATAAGTTTTATTGAATTTATACATAAGTTTTATATCTATTAATGTTGATATTCATTAATCCCATGTTTAAAAAGAAGATATCTCAAAACGCAAGTAATTAAAATTAAAAAATAAGTCAATTAATTTATTATGACTAAATTTCTCGTTGGCCTTTGTCCAAAGTGATGTTATAGCTATTATGGACTAGAACATGGGAGATAAATATATTTTTTGAAGGTTTGCAACATTTAATAATTTAAATATCTCGCGTTTGTATTTTTGTCATTAGTAGCTTGTATTTATTTTAGATAGCTATTAGTGGCTAGCTTGTTTATGAAGTCATTTTTTATAATATCTAGATACTTACTGGTATCAAAGAGTATATCACACAAGGGCTGAAATACTTATTTTAAAACTCAAAGAACTCATGTTTGAAAAATGAGCATTTTAACTTTCTCATGCCTATACTTCCTCTTTACTTCCTTTCTAATGATTTTTTTTTTGTATTTTCTTGTCTTAATGATAGGCTATTAGTATTTTATAAACTTAAGTTGTAAGTGATTGTTTTTGCACTAAATTGTATTTTTTTCAGATTTATTTTGACTTACTATAATATATATACTAATACTATTATCGAATTATCGTATTATCGTATTATAGTAGTACTATTATCGAAAGAGTTTCTTTGTTATTTTTGAAGTGTTACTTAGCACATCCTTTTTAAAAAAAGCAGTGTAGGTGTATTTTGTTTGTGGTGTATTGTATCTTTTTAATATTATTTGTTTTTTGCTGCACGATAATGCACCATCTCATCAATCGACAATTGTGACTAAAAATGGCATTTTAACTGTCAAGCACTCCCCGTATTCGCCTGATTTTGCACCGTGCGACTTTTATCTTTACGGAAAAATACATTTACAGACGAAAGGAAAGCGTTTTGTGGACGAGAAGCCATCCAAAAAGCTTGTACCGACATCCTGAGGAACATCCCGGCAGAAAATCTAAAACACCCACTCGAGTTGAATAAGGTAAATGGGTTTTGCAAAAAAAACTTTTTGTTCTTATTTTTAAAAGATCCTCTTTACTTTGCAACGCAGCTTGTAGAAACCAGGTAACAAGACTTAAATTTTTAATTTTTTAAGTTAAGATACTAGGCTTGGTCCAACTTTGTAAATCTTGAATAAAACATCTATTTGAAGTCTTATAGGTGTCACTGGTATCAGTTAATTTTTTAAATATTCTTAAAACATGTTTTTGCTTATTGACCATTCAGATTATTAAAATATTTTGACAATAATTTACGCTAAGAGGGCCAGCAAATAAATACTACATATTTTTTAAAGGTCTAGATCAAAATTTAATAAGACGAATACAATATAATAATACGTAAGTACAGGGGTCTTCGCGGTAAGTGGCCTATTAAACGTTTCAAAGGAACCAAAGACAATGTGACTGAAATTTTGTTTGGGGGGTTATGAGATATGTTCTCTTCAATGAAAATAATGCCATCAACGTAATACTTCCGGTTATACCCGAAATAGCTGTCAACTTCTTTATTTTAAATGGAACACCTTATATATTATTGCATTATCGACAATATAAATTAAAAATAAGTTAAAAATATTAAAGCTTCCCTGTACCTAAATATAACCGTTTTCGAGATAATCGACATTTTATAAAAATTTTGACAGACGCAAGTGTTTCAAAAATTCGTTATATCTTTCTTCGTTCTGGGAGCTTTCTCTTGCTTTTCGGAATACACAAAGAACATAAGATGCACTACCTTTCACCATCAAAATTACCCGAAGAAAATTTTATTAAGTGTTCCATTTTAAAGGAGGGAAGCTTTAATATTTTTCAATTATTTTGAATTTATCTTGTCTATAATGCAATAATTGTGTTGCATTTAAATTAACGAGGTTGACAGCTACTTCCGGAATAACCAGAAGTGCTACGTAGATAGCATTATTTTCATTGAAGAGAACATATCTAATAACCCCCGCAAACAAAATTTCAGAGTCATATTGTCTTTGGTTCCCCTGAAACATTTAATAAGCCACTTATGTGAAGAACCCTGTAGATATTTGAAATCTTACCTTATAAAAACTGCTAAATCCTAAACGGTATAACCCTGAAAAAATAACGATCATTAAAAATGGCGAAGGAGCCAGTAACAAATTAATAAATAGGTAGTTTTAAAAATAAGTCATTGTCATGTACGTTTCTTCATTTCGATTTAATTGGCCAAAAAGTTGAGGAACACAAAACTGGTTTTAATTTATTGGCCAATTTTGGAGAACATTATTAATTTCAATATTTACTCGTGTAAATAATATGAAAAATGTTGAAACTAATATAAAAAAAATCTTCTGGAAGTATGTAGAAAAAATGAAACATTTATCTATATGATTTAACTTATACGGAAGTAATCTATTTGTATAAAAAAAAGGAATTTATAATAGAAAATTGGTAAAGCATGGATATACTCTGGGAACAAAATATACAGCAATTGTGCTACACTAAAACTACTAAAATTATACAACCTACACTACTACCTGGTTCATCCTGGTAAAATCCCTTGTTTATTAAACTTATTAAGTAAAAAAATCTCTTTGTTTCAGTGAATTACTAAATTAAAACATACTGTATTTTGATAAACTAGTATAGCATTCTGTTGATAAGAAATAATTACAAAGGCCCACAAAAAAGAAAGTAACATAAATGAATTAGTTCCAAACTTAGCAAAACCTACCGAGTCAAGTCTTATAAGAATAATAAACATGTATACCTAAACTACAAATTCCAAACCTAGCATAACCTAATGAATCGCAAAATAAACAAGCAAAATGGCATATAACGTAAACACTACAGTTAACATAACTTGATGCAACGAAGCGTAAGCTAATAAACAGGAATATATCATGAGCTCTAAACCTAATTTAAGGAAAAAACGGCAAACAGAAATCTAGGTATTCCGATACCTTAAAGGCATGTTAATTGGGTCAAAATAAAATATTTAAAAATAAGATGACAAAGAAAATAATAACTTTTTGTTTGTTTAAACAACTATTTTCTTTTACGATGTTGATTATTTAGAACACTAAAAGTAAAAATAATATGAGAGTATTGGCATAAAAGTTTAAGACAAGAATAACGTGTTTGTTAGTTTAAATTAATATTTTCTAGTTTCTTAAAAGAAGTTGATTACATATTTAAAACTCCAAAATTCAAAAAACATGTATGTACAAAATTTTAATGAAAAGATGATTATTTATAATAAATACTAAGTCTAAACCTTTATTACCTAACATTAAAGTAAAGGCTGATAAAAGATATAATTGCAAATTACCTTAGCGCAAAAACTTAAGTTATTTTTTTTTAAAAGGAGTAAGAAAAAATTTTCTAATAAAAATGTTTAGAAATAAATATTTTTTGTCTTATTTAATATTACTTTCACATTAAAAAAAAAATATTCATTACATCACTAGTACCTATAGTCTTACCGATCTCAATTGATGACCAAAGAACTAGGCAGTATGTACCAGGTTCGGTCACTACGCAGCAACTCAGCATTGGAATATTTGAAAAACTTGTTCCCATATTTATTTACCCATACCCTTATACAGGCCTGGTTGCCCAGTTGAAGAACGTGCGGGCGGGCAAACGCCGCACACACAGCCGCACTAGGCGACCGGCCATAAATTTCAATTGTTGACAAATTGCCTAGCAGTGCAGTGCAGCAATGCGGAATTTGTTGTGATGAGTAATTTTAATTTATTATAGGCACCTTCTATTAATCATTCATATTACAATTGCGAAAGGGAGAAAAAGAGGGACATGTCGTTTACTAATAATATTACATGATATTTTGGAGACCCTTTGAAACGGAACAAAATGAAATACCGCCACACAATATTGAATTAGTAGAACCGGTTGTTGATGACAGATTTAGAATTTAAAAATAAAGGTTTAGATGTTCAATGTCAGCGTCCCATTTTAAATATTTACGATTGTTTAAAAAAGGTAGAAAATTAAAAATCAGATAATGAAATTATAAATAGAATTCACATATTAACTAATGCTTCAGTGTCCACAATTTTTCGTGTTCTTAAACAAGGTGTTATAGATCATTGGGTAAAGAGGAAATGAAAACAAAAATTTAAATATATCGATGACATGACGAAAGACGTAATTCGGCGAACAGTTTATAATTTATGTAAAGAAAATTGACATAAATAATTAAAATATGTTGTTGGCCCAATGAACATATAATAGAAATTGGCGGAAAACTTTTTTAGGGACACCTATGAAACTCATTAAATTTTATTGCTAGGCGTTTTTATACATCATCAACTGACTTCGGAAAGACTATAACATTCTAGCATTGTAACATCTGTCTCTATTTTAACTATTTAAAAAAACTTGTCGAAAGTCACAAATCTGTTATGGTTTGTGGCTTACCATTATCACGTCATCGAAAAAATGCCATTTCTGAGTAAGTTAAATATAAAAATTCACTGATACTATCAAAATTAATTTAAACAACCCATCATTAAAGAGAAATATGTATATGATAAACGGTTTTCTGTTATATTTAGTTATTAAAAAAACACACGCCGATCGTGAAGTCTATGTGAGTGTATAACGGTACTCGTAAATCACACATTGCTCCTAAATATAACTTTCACTAAATTTAATATAAATAAGTTATCCATTATTTTCTGGCCTTAAAATTAAGTCAACGTGCCTGAATATATGGGTATTACCCAGAATATGTCCGGTAAGCTACTAATTTACCAGTGATCTGTAATTGATAGGCGTATATATAGGTACAATTTATTGATTATTTGAAAACGTATTCCGGTGATACTGATATTTGGAAGTTTTGTTATCTGTCGTATACTCGATCGCATAAGATATAAATAGTTTACGGTAAACGTATAACACAATAAATAAAATGGGAAATGATATACATTCCGATATTTGTTGAGATAGAATTCCAAGAAGACCCCTGCGTCGTTTTCTAGGAAGTAACCGCATTCGACACCCGAGGTAGAAAGACATTGGGCGCCTCTGCCGCGCTAAATTGTTACAGTAGTTCTGATAAAACTTTATTGGCTTATTATTTCCTTCCAATTCAATATCAACAAAGGAATCGCACGGAATGTACATAATTTTTATAAATAATAGGTATGATAAGATGATGGATTTAAAGAAATTTTGTTATTTAACATTTTACTACAGATATTTTAAATTAAAATATTGATACAATTGGGATTTCTTTAACAAAAACAATCAAAATAATATCTTTTTGCAATGTAATTATTGTAAATACAATATAATAAGATCCACTTCTTATTTGTGGAAGGGCGAAATGGGCGGTGATTATTAGACGCCTTCATTATAGCCATCTTTCTCTATTGCACGGATTTCTATGACTTTCTTTATCGCTCTCACGTAACGGCCGATGAACCATGGGGACTTTCCGACCCTGTATATCTGCATTGAAGGAGTTCACAAGTCACATTACACCAGAGTTATCTGACATTACAGCAGGATGATGCACGGGCAAAAAACAAATAGTCAATGGTTATTTTGACTATAAGATCATCGGTCTATGAGGAGTCGGGAATATGATGGGTAATTTCGCGACTTTTTGCTTGAGTAGGAATTAGTTTTCACTGGAATCGAAATAGAATTTTGTGTTTTTGGGTACACTCAGAAAATTATTATCTAATATCAAACTAACCTGTAATTTCCGATATGATTCGTTTAAATTTGAATTAATAAATTGATTATTATCTATGTACGATAATATAAAACTTTTTATAATGTTGCATTTAAATTATTATAAGTTTGAAAGGAAATATTAAATAAACTATTATTGCTACAACTGCACCGGAATAAATGAGAACATGTATATTTTAATATTAATATGTCTACATCAGTTACAAGCAAACTTTTAAACTGGTTAAGAGGAAACGAACCTATTTAACTTTAAAAANTTTATAATGTTGCATTTAAATTATTATAAGTTTGAAAGGAAATATTAAATAAACTATTATTGCTACAACTGCACCGGAACAAATGAGAACATGTATATTTTAATATTAATATGTTTACATCAGTTACAAGCAAACTTTTAAACTGGTTAAGAGGAAACGAACCTATTTAACTTTAATAACTCCGAGAAGACTAAAAAAATTGCGAGTAGGTAATATATTTAAAATATTGAAGTATTGTCAAATGTATGTACTATAATAACAAATAATATAACATTTACATAAAAGCTAGGCTGTTCAAGATTTTAAACTTATTACAAGTTATCATTAAAACTATATATGCTAGACAATATTCAATCCTAGGATGACTAGCACAAATGGAAATGATTTAATGCAAACTAATGTTTCTCTCAGTGTAATGTAAGTATGTAACCTTATTAAGCTATTTATTTCAGTGTTTACTGACGGTACGGTGTATTCACTTTCATCGTCAGGTTTCTGTGTGATGTTATAGAGAAAAAATGTATACTAATGAAGAAATAATTTATATGGCTATTGCTTACTTGTTGTAAGAAGAAAACGGTGTGACTGGAAAACGAAGGTATCAGATAAATGACGAATGAGAAAATGTTTGCAAGATTGCTTCAACGTTTAAGAGATTATGTGAGCTTTGAACACCTGTAGGCTCGGTAGAACATGGACCTTATTAAGATAAATTAAAATACTATTATGTTATGTTTGGATAGCAATGAAGGAAATTTTCAGTATATCCTGTAAAAATCAGGAGAGTGAACCGATTATTTACTTATTTCAATTAATTTCATTTATCTTTACTATCATCAGTGTTTGAATTTTCTTTTGGATCAATTGTTACTGTTTCGTAGTTAATTTTTTTCAAAGAATATTTTTTTGTGTATGTGGGACATTAAGATTCCTCCTAAACTTTCCTGCATTTCTTTTAAATTCTAAGATTTGACAATAATGCATACCGCAGCTCCCAAGTGTGTATTCTTTCGTGGCTAATGTGCACAATTGTTTGAGATCACACCAACCTATCCAGCGGCGAGGTATGAAAATTACGGAAAGACATTAAAAAACTTAGTTTTCACCGAGTTTGAGGAAACAAACT